TTTACGACCGAACGTATAGAATACAAATCAAGCCGTAAGACAAAGGCGCACATTGTCTCACGAAAATAGACCGAACAAACAAGCACAAAAGATCCATAGAAATGAGAATAATAAAAGAGGAAATAAAAGAAAATTTCTTTTAAAAAGAGATGATAAATTAAGAAAGCACATATTTATTCTCTGAAGACGATGAAGTAACAGAATATGATCGAAAAACTCTATTGTAAAGAAGAAGTAAAATTAGTAAATGAGTTGAGCCAAAAAAGAAGCATTTTGTCAAAGAGTTGTTAATATTATTGCTGTGAAATGTTGAAAAGCAAATAAATTCATTGTTGCTAAGAGAAATTTATAAAAGAAAACTCGTTAAAATACAAAGAAGAAAAACTCTGAAAGAAATATTTTTTAACGACAAAAATATGAAATTTTAAGAAATAGCATTGCGGCTAACTAAATTCTTCTATGTCGAATTGACCACTGAAATTTTGAAGACATATTCCTGGATAGTCTTAGAATGGATTTAAAAAAAAATGCATTTTTCAGAGCTTCTAAGCCAGACCAAATATTTGGAACAGAGATAACTCCATTTCCTAGGTCAATATATGGATACTAAAATAAATTAAAAGAAAATAGCATTAAATAAATAAAATAAAAAATATATATATATAAAAATTTAAAAAAATTAAATTAAATTTAAAAAATTCAATAAAACAAAATAAAAGAATGAAATCAAATGAAATATAGTAATTTAAAATAATAAAATAAAACATATTTAAAAAAATAAAACAAAGCAAAATAAAGTAGAATTAATAAATTATAAATATATAAAAACAAAATAAAATTTTTAAAATAAAATAAGGAAAACCAGAAAAATTATATTGCAAAAAAATAAAAATAAAATTAAGTAAAATATAAAATTGAATAAAATAAAATAATAGAAGAATATTTAAACTAAAATAAAATAATTTTTTGTATTAAAAAAATATACATAAATGAATTTAAAAAAAAATTAAATTAAATAAAAAAAATTAAACAAAATAAAAAAATTAAATTAAATGAAATAAAATAATATAATAAAATTAAATGAAATAAATTTCAAAAAATAAAATAAAGCAAAATAAAGTAAAATTAATATATTATAAATATATAAAATAAAATAAAATTATTAAAATAACATAAGGAGAACCAGAAAAATTATATTGAAAAAAAAAAATTAAATTAAATTAAGTAAAAAATAAAATTAAATAAAATAATAGAAGAAAATTGTAAATAAAAGAAAATAAGAGAAAATAATATAATTTTAAATTAAATCAAATAGAGTTAAATAAAATAAAATGATTAAACTAAATAAAAAAAGTTAAATAAAACAAATAAAGTAAAACAAAATAAAATAAATTAAAAAAAAATAAAACAAAATAAAGTGAAATAAATAAAATATAATAATATAAAAAAATTATTAAAATAAAATGAGATCAAATAGAAAAATGTATTGAAAAAAAAAATTAAAATAAAATTAAATAAAATAATATAAATAATAAAAGAAAATAAGAGAAAATAAAATAAAATAATTTAAATTAAAATAGAATAAAATGAAATTAATTTATTAAAATAAAATAAAAATAATAAATTAAATACATTGCAATTATTAAAATGAAATTTAATAAAATAATTTAATTTAGTCAAAATTAAAAAAATAAAATAAAACTAAATAAAGTAAAATACATATATTAATAGGAAAAAAAATTAAATTAATTGAAATAAAAGAAAATGGGAAAAAAGTATAAACGTTTGGTCTTTATATATTATTCATGTATACTTTTCTTTATTCCCATGGGTATGCGCTTAATTTTTCACTATTCAAACATACATACCTATGTCTGCCCTAGAGATAACGCCAATGGCATACTCGTATGTAACTCTCGGTTGGGAATAGTTTTTTCACATACGTGTAGTTTCTCTAATTATTCGCTTTCTCGTACGTGAGCCCGAAAGAAATGTTTAATTTTTTACACAAAAGCAATAAATTTCAACTTCAACTCCTAATTTGTTACCCTAACCTACCCGAAAGAAAATACTAAAAATAAAAACAAGAGAAAATTGGAAAAAAAAAGTCATAAAAATACCAAATAAGTAGAAAAATGAGGTAAATGTTCACATATATCAGAAAATAAAAACACGCATTCATATATTAAATAAATATATGTACGTAGGGAGTGTGTGCTTGGTACCTTCGCACTTTCAAATGCGCCCTTACCACTTGATATGACCGCCCGCTTAGCTGCCTCTCCCTCACCTTACTGCAACTCAATTACCTTTTGTCATGCAAATCTAAATGTTTGCTCCATATGAATAACAGTTCAAATAGTTTTTCGGGGTATATGAAATGTGTGATAGGCTTTTATAACAGCGATAAGTTGAATATTTTAACTACACGTATGAAGGTATCCTCGTAGGAAAGCGAAAATAGTGGAATTGAAATAAATTTTCTCTTGTGTAATTTGGTTAAAATTAATTTAATTAAATAATAGGTAAACTCTTTGCCATTATTTGTCAAAGTAGCTACTTTGTAACTAGTTTGGTACTTCCCTTAAGTTTGATTAAATAGTGAAAGGAAACCGCTTCCCTATATGGTAGTTACACCTAACTACCTATTCACCCCTCTACGTACATATGTATGTGTATGTACACACACCACACCACTGTGGGTGTGAGAGTTACACATTTATTATGTGAAATTTTAACGCAATGTTTACCAAAACACATAGAATAAATAAATAAAATATACAGATATAAATACACACACGTAGGTATATACATACGTATGTACGTACGTGCCTATTTAGCTCATTGTTTGAATTGCCGCGAGGACACGTGCTAACTACTCCCTTAAACACACACATAGATACGTAAATACATACATACGTAGGTATTTTGGTTTTTTATTTTGTATGGTATTTGTAGACACGCCTGCGCCACATAATCGTATTCCCAAAGTCAATGGTAATGATATGTTTTACATATACATGTGTGCACATACTGATACACATTTTTGTTCCATCGAAACTTTCTCATTTCAGTTACACTTTAATTACATTAATTTGAATATTAATTGTAAACCGTAAAAATACCGAAAAACAATAAAATTTTGCTCATGAATTGAGTGCTAATTAATATCCTTACTCAGCTAATTTAACCTGGTAAATATTAATTTAATATGAAGATAATTAAGTGAAATCCCAAATAAATCAAAATATATTAAAAATAAATAAAAAAAACTAAAAAGAAGGAAAAATAAAATAAAATAAAATAAAATAAAATAAAATAAAATAAAATAAAATAAAATAAAATAAAATAAAATAAATTAAAATAAAATAAAATTAAATAAAAAAAAAATTAAATAAAAGAGAGGGACAAAATTAAATTAAATTAAATTGATATATTATATTAATAAAAAAAAATAAAACTATTTAGTTCAATTTTAAAATAAAATTAAAAAAATTAAATAAAAGAAAAGAAAGATAAATTTGACCAAAATTAACATAAATTAAATATATATAAATAATATATATAAATATGTTGTATTAACAATAAATTAAGATTAATTTAAGAAAGTAAACAAAAAATAATAAGCCCATACATAAAATACGAAAAAAATAAATTAAATAAGTTAAAGTTAATAAATATATTAATCGTCCACAAGTACCTACTTTAGGCCAAAAGGCGTGCATTTGGGTTTCATCAGGGCAACGTCAGGCCACACACACTGATAGTTACTCGCTAGAAACTCCCGAGAGCTTTGCTGGGAGCTTTTTATGCAGTCATCCTGAAGTCTGGACCTCGCACCAAGTAATTTACCGTCTATCCTAATTTCTTTTTTTCAAATAGTGGACAAGAGTTTCTATGAGAGAGGCATAATGGCATTGCCTACAAAATCGCAAAAATTTATCAAGTACAACATGGGATAATTCAATTTATCACGTTGAGCCTTCAAATGAATGCAAAAATAAGGGATTAGTGTTACAATATTCACCTCAAGTCCTCAGATTAATTACTAATAAAGAACTGTTGTACTGAACGTATGTCAGCCATTTTTAGTTAGATCTTAGTCCCTACTAGCAAGCAAGTAGAGTAATGCCTTAAATACTTTATGTTAAATCAATCGTTGGTGGAAAGTTAAAATTCCGTTATATATACAAGCAGAGCTAAGTCGATTCGTTTTGTCCTTCCACGAAGCTCTCTTCTTTGCATACTCTATTTTGCCCACGACTTACTTGCATGGAACTGGTTCTAATAAGATTCTGAATTTCCACATGTAAAAAATCTTTTTTTCTCAGCTGATCGATGCCGGAAAAAACTATTCTTGGGAAAAAGATATACCGCTGTTCCTTATACCAAGCAATCGAACCATAAATACGATTTTTCTGGCTATATCGGTCCATTTTTCGGAAGAATCTATGGAAATGTAGGCAGAAAGCTGCTTAGGTACAAATTTTCATATAAATCGAGCCCCCCAGGGGGGGGCTCTCCAAGTTTCAGCTCTTCAGCTCTTTACGAGCAGTGGGTCAGTTTGTGGGTTGATCCGTCAGGATGACGTCTTTTATATGTGTATAAAGATATACAAAAATTCATATCTGAGCAAAGTACAACCGTCATGGGTTAAATTCAAGTTGATGACGTCTCTGGGTTAGGAATTGCTTAATTGCTTAAACTTTCCCAGGAATTATAGAAATGAACTGACAAAATTTGAAGTTTATTCTTGGTAACGTTTGGATAATCTGGAAGATAACTGAATTTTTCCGAAAGGACATAAATTTTTTTATATATAAAATAAGAAATATTTATATTTATGTATGTACATATTTACATATCTTTTGCAATATTACACTTTTTCACCCCCCACCAAATGCAATTATGAAGGTCAAAAACATTCTCACGTAATTTCTGTTTAAACTCTTCTAATAATAATTACACTTTGTACAAACATATATAAAATATCTACTTACTTGCGCGCTAAACGTTTCCGTATGCCGGCCAACATCGTGCTGGTGCTGGATGAGTTGCCGGATGAACTGTTGCCTGTTGCCTGTTGCGCCGTGCCGCCTTACTGACTGTTTGATTTTCCGCTCGAGAGTCGGCAGTTTTAGCCAATTATACGCTGTTACCAATTCAATTTTCTTAATTTCTCTGCTTATTGGGTTTTTTTCTTTTCCTATTTTTCTATTTTGCTTTTTTTCTGTTTGAAGATTTTCAATTTTTCGTTTCTCGCGCGCAACTCGCTTTCCCTCTGGTGCTAGTGCGGGAAAAGGGTGTACGAAAAAATTAGTTTTCTACTAAATTTCTGCCGCGTCTAAAGCGCAATTATTACACGTAGCGCTCTAACTGGCAACTATGTTCTTCTTCGTTGGGTTGCGTTGTTGTTGTTGTGCAGTGTAGTGCATAATCACGTAGCGAATCACGAAATAAGTTCCATGCGCTTAATCTGCACAGCTCGCTCGAGTTGTTGGTGTAACGAATAGGAAGTTAGATATTTTTTTTAAATTTATTTAATTTTTTTTTAGTGTAAAAAATTATGCTGAGAACATGCTGTGGAGTTCAGTGCTCATCTCATCGTTGTTTTTTCTTTTGTTTTTTGCTCAAAAAAACATCTTTCTCATCTCGCTTAGGCACGAATTCAATTACACGCTTTACACTCGTTCGCTATTCTTTTTTTTTCAAGTACAAATTGCCTAATTTGAATTTTTTAATTTTTTGCTTTTATATTTTATGCCTTTTTGCATCATTTACACTAGCGAGAACCGACTTGCGAAGAGTGAAAAAAAAAACAATAAATAAATTGCAGCGTGTACTCGTACAAGTGAACTAACGGGCGCGTTGCCAACCACTTTACTGACTGCTCGTGCTGCTGGGCTTTACTACTCGTGGCAGAATATCAAATTCAGCAATAACCAGCTGTTGAAATTGGAGTTCTGCGCTTTTCTCTACACTCAGTTGATTTATTTGCGTATGATTATTATTATTATTATTATTTATATTTTTTGTGAAGAAAAAAAATCATATTATTTTGACTGCGTCTTTATTTACACACACGTCTCGACTCGCTCATTCGCTCCCTTCCCTCACTTTGTGCTTGTGGCCGTGGCAGCTCGTATTTCTTTAACTTTGTTGTGGCTTGTGCAGCGCGATAAAAAGAAAACACTTGTGACTGCTTGTACGCCTCCGCGACTCTGTAAATAGCAAAAAGAGAAGAAGAAAAGAAGAAATTAAAATCAAAAGAATTCACATATTATTTTTCTGCAACTGACTGTAACTGAAATTGATGCTCAAAAAAATATATATAATATGTATATATACATATATACCTATATATATATAGTTGTATATATGTAATAAATAGTGGAAAGCCAGCAAGCTGCTGCTGCTTGGCACTTAACACACTACCTTCCGCTTCTTCTTCTCTCCCCCCTCGATCAGCAGTTCCGCGTGTGCTCTGTGATTTATTATGGGAAATTCGATATTTTTCAAAAGCATTCCACACACACACACACACACGGATACTCTCATTCATGGTATGAAATGGAGATTAATATTTATGTGCGTGCATGGTGAATGAAGTGTTTATGCCAAGTTAAACACCGAAAATACTCACAATGAGCAAGAATGATGTTGATGTTGATGATACTGATGATGTGCGAATTTCTCGAGCGTGTGCATTTAAATTAATTATAAAGCATTTCTTTCTTTCATTTCACCACTTTCCACCCTCTTCTGCCCTTTCACAATATTTATTTCTCGTTTACTGTTATTTAATGTCAAAGCTTTCAGCATTTCAATTATTTTTAATAGTGTATAAATAAACTATGATGAGCTCGGCGGTTGGTCGGTGTTGGGCTGAAGGCTGCAATCTTTCTCACGAGCGGAATTAAAGCTTGCAGTGTGATTTGTTTTTGTACAAAAGCCAATTGAAAAGTCTTTTGTGAATTTTGAAATATTTTATTTTTGTTGTATACATTGTTTTTTGTGCTGAATTCACGTGAAGAAATAACGAGTATCTGTCATAATATTATGAAGATTGCAAGTGATTTTTGGAGTTTTTGTGTCTTTTAAGAGAGTTGGAAGTTGAGTTTTCAACTGGGAGTCACAATATAAAAAGAAAGCTTCGATAACAGACATGGCAAGCCCGCAGAGGGGTACGGTTAAGGAGGTCAACATTCTTTTCATCTGTGAAAAAACTCCTAAACCAACCCTCAACTCACTCATAATGGAGTCGCATTTTCTTCAAAGAAATTTAACTCCTCTTAGTTAGTTGAAGTCTTGCTATGCAGCTTGGTTAGGAAAAATTAATTTTTTTTCTTTTTTGGACAGGTGCTCTCGGCTCATGTATCGACTATCTCGTCGATCTTCCCCTGGAGTAGACTGCAATCAATTTGTAGGAGTAGGGTCTGCCTCGGGGGAACGNGGTGGTGCGCAGGCCAGAGCACGTCCCAAAAGTACACCAGCCAGAGCAAGAATTGCATCTGACTGAAGTCATGTTTCGACGTACAATGGTCTGATACATGGAAAGACTATGCGGGGGGTAAGGAGCTGCTGGGTATCCCGCGCACGGGAGGAGGATGAGAAGCTGTTTGTTTTTAGGGATAGAGATGGGGGTTGGTGGGAGTCATGCTGCGGGAGCTCAGTGAGACCGTAGAGGTCTGTTGGATACCCAAAGGTGCTCAAGGTGCCGTGGAGGCTAGAGGCGCACTTGGGCATTGGCAGCATGGGGCCACATAACATGTGGTCCACTCCCTATGGGTTTTAAGGCCTGAGCAGGTCTTAAGATAACTGCGACAATTGCGCTGGTTGCACCTAACCGAGGTGGAGAAGTGGTGGAGTCTTTTCTGACACACGCAGCAGAAGTAAGCCGTCGGAGCAGAGTTGGTCTCAACGCCTGCCCTGATAAGATGGCTTTGGAGCAACCCAGCTGCGAGGTGTTGCTCCGTTGGTGAACTTAAATGAATGTTACCTGTTGACCTAAACGGGATTATGTCGCGGAAAGGGTAACAGCCCTTGAACAAGCAGTCTTGTCACTTAAATTTATTTTCTATAGCGTTTGGATGCTAACCCGGGCCTTTCAAATGGCATTGCTTACTGCCTAAACACTCGGCTACTGCGGCCGCCACGTCTGAAATGTATCTATTGATGATTTATAGTTTCAAATGGAAGGACGGACCTTGATATTAAGATCTTAAGTCGGCTAAAGTCATTGTATAGAACGTCAGTGAAGTGCAAGGGATCCAACCCTGCTCTAGGCCATTGAACTGCAAAGCTCCGGATATCACTGCAATGTTCTTCATTGCGACGCCGATGGGTGATACGTCAGGTAACCTTACAGGTGCCGCCGTAGGAGTGGCTCTGAGCGCTCCTGTAATGAACAGCGGCCGGTGAAAACAATTGAAGAGGAAGATTTCTACTCCTTTGGAATGATCACGTGGCGAAAGGCTCGGTACGTCCAAATTGAAACCAAAAAGCGAAAGGAACGGTGGCAGAAACTAAGAAGAAGAGAAGTGTTAGAGATTGCTAAAAGGTTTTTGGATGGTAAGAAGACTCCAAATTGTAAATATCAATAACTTTCCTAAGATAAAAGTGCTCACAGAAAATATTTAATGCAAAATACTTCGCATGAGTCCTCGAGAACTGAAATGTCTTGAGCAGTACTCTCCCCAGCAAAAACAGCAAAAAGCTTGAATAGTGGAAAATATTTCCAAATAGAGAGTAGAGGGAATGAAGGTACCTATTGTCTCAACCAAGCATGAAGTTCACAGCATAAATTTTCTCAAAACCGTTAAGCAAAAAACAGTATAATTTTCTTTACCGCAAAAAGCTTTCAGCGCTTAATGACTACTTCTCCATAGAATAAAGGAAAAAACCGGCGTAATTGAAAAGACAAGAGCAAAGTAAAGAGAGAAAAACAAGCTTAACTGCCGTTAATTCTAAGCCTATCTTCAACTGTAAAGTGCATCATTTTCGCATTTTCCACAAAAAAGTTTTATTCCATCTTTTCCAGCTGTGTTTTTCTACTCTACACAATCTGATTACAAAGCGCAGACCGAAATAAAGCAACAAAGCACAGCAAAACATCAGCGCTATCACCACCCACCCACTCGCCGACACACGCACACATACCTACATTCATACACCCAACGGAGTAAACCAGATTTTAATGGCCACCTCAGCATTTCAATCTCGGCAGCTATAATTTCATAAACACGCCGCACGGAAGAGTTATACGAGTACGAACTTCGTTGTTGTATAGTGAAATTGTAATTTATGTAGCCACAGCGTAGAGATAACGAACGCGAATTGCAATGGGAATGAGAATGAGAATTTGAATGCATGCGAAAAAAAGTATAATTTACCGCTTAGATACGCGGCCTGTCATTCCGCGGAAGGCATTTGTAACCACAGCAGGTCGTTCGGTCGCTCGCTAATGCTCCGGCGGTGTGACTGGGCTTAGTGCAAATAAATGAGTTGGAATAAAGCATTTGAATCGCCATTGTCAGAGGAATCAACAAGACCTCTCATATGAGTATTTTTTTGCAATGTAAAAATTAGGTAGAGTGGTGTATTCTGTAGGAAAATTGTGTCTTAAAGTGAAGATAACTAATAATATATGTAGTCTTGTAGGGTTTTCAACGTTCAATTCGTGTTTTTTCAACTCACAGCACCTAAATGTAGGCAATGTTTTGCTTTAATTGTTTTGATGTTGATAATATGTTGCCTACATTTAGGCTGATATTGTATACAGTGATGTAGGTACACCTAAAGTCAGTAAAAGCTATTTTAAATTGACTTCGCAATAAAAAACAATTTAAAATTTGTACCATACGTATACATATATATACATATATGATTGACGCTTTGTTTCAGTGCTTACATTTTCGGTCGAACTCCTCCTTTAATTTGTGGTAAACATCTTGATGTTTTTTCCGAAAAAAGGAGACGCTTACTGTTTATACTAAGCCTCCTTCGAACGACTGATGTTTTTTTTATGAGGAGGTGTTGACGATCACTGCCGAGGGCCGACCGCAATTAGAAAAGTTATTATTTTTATTTAAATTAATTTTCTATAACTTTTGAATGTTGGTGGTAGGGGAAATCGGAATTTGGATCCTGTCTTTCCGAATGGCAGTACGTAATGCTTACAATTCGGCTAACCCGACCGTTATTAATTCTTAATTTCCATTAAATAAACCCTCTTAAAGTATTTTGTGGAAATGCTACTTTCGAACCATCACCGTTCTCATCTGTTATGATCTGAGGTTATTTATTCCGTTAGAAGAACTACCGAATGTTAAGTCCTCTCCCGACGAGCTAAAACCAAACTCTACAAGTCCCTCATCGTTCCCATCCTGCTATATGCTGCGGCAGCGGTGTCTACGCCAGTTAAGTAAGTATCAAGTCAGAACTTTGCTGATGAGATCTAGAAGATCATCTTTCCTTCCTTCAGTCTGCTTTGAGGGCCTCTGGTTGAAAGCTAATAAACTGTTGCGGTGTTTGTCTTTCATTTTATCGCTTTTTCCTTTTTTCCGATACTATTTCTTTCCTTTTCATGGTATCAAGAGGACATTCCATTAGTGTTACATGGGATATACCCTCAAAAAATAGTCTTCGCCACGCACATTTGAAGATTTAAATACAAGAAGTAGAAGTTGACCTCGAACCCAATTTGCAGAATTTTCAGGAAAAAACTATGATTTTGAGAGAGCCCGAGAAGTACTGAAGTTCTATGTAACCAAAAGTGGTTTGCGGTAGAATTCTGTAATCATACTCATCTCTGCCCTCCAAAGCTTAGAATCGGGTACTGGAAAATACTCGTCACTGCTTCCAAAGAGCTCTCATGGAAGCTGGTAATCATATGTTGTAATAACCTCAAGAGCCCATGTAGATTTCATCTTGGCTTTCGCCCCATAGGTCTGCCGCTTCATTTGCCACTGACAGAATGGATTTCTCATTAACCTACAGCTTCAAAGATTTCTAAGATCTTTTCACCACCAACATTAACTAACTGGCCGTCTAAGATAAAGTTGGCACAAGCCAGAATTTTCGATTGCATACAGAGCTGTTGATATAAGGAAAAGTAGTCTTGTTGGCAATGGTGACTTCAGTGAACGCAGAAGACTTAACTCTCAAGGCTGAGTATGAAAGTACAGAGCTCTTGGTACGAAATTAGCTACTAAACGTTGGA